CTACTCTTTTACCAACGAATAGTGGGATTGACCGTCACATTATAACGCCCCCACGGCTGAAAGGGCGAGCATGTTTGGTGTGACGGGGAATCGAACCCGCGACCCTCAGATTGCGAGTCGAGTGCCGTAACAACCTGGCCATGCCGGGCCAGATATAATAGTAATTAGCAAATGTGCCTTAATACATAAATCTAATAACTAGTTTATTTGATAAAGCTAACGACAGTTCTAATTATAGTTAAGAAGGAACGACTAGCAAATCTTCAATTTCATTAAGATCATCACAGAATAACTTTAAAAAATAATAAAAACCCAAAAATCGGGTTTTGATGCCTGTGGTGGGCAGAGTACGAATAACTCATTGTGCAATTTTGTGCTCAATAGCAACGAAACCAATCGTTATTGTAAGTAAAATGTTTACTTGTATTTAAATTACTGTTAGTAATTTAGTTAAAGTAAGTAACGTTACTTAATTACTCTTATACTAAACAAAAATTAAACTGTTAGTAAATATTCACTTCGACGATATTCGTTACATGCTTGTCAATTGTTAATCTGACGAAAATATTAAAATGTATAATTAATATGTATCTATTACTCCTACAAAAAAATTATTTAATAATTCTTCCCACCTCTAGAAAGTTGTCGTTAGTAAATCGATGAATCAGGGCAGTTTTCCCACAACGACTGTCTCCTACTAAAACGATTTTACAACTGAATTTTTCCATCACCTTCTCTTGCTGATTGATTTAGTACTGGACTTCCTGGACGTGTGGACGGATACACCTGCAGAAAAACGCAACACCACAAGTTTGATTCTTAGAAGTGCTATTTGTTTCAACAGAAAAATATTGTTCCTGTCAAGACTTACACTACTCTGAAAAACTGTAGTATCTAAATGAAGCTTACACTACTCTGAAAAACAAACTGTTATCTCTAATGAAGGTTACACTACCCTGAAAAGAACCGTTATTTTTAATGAAGGTTACACTACTCTGAAAAAATCCATTATATCTAAGGGAGCTTACATCACTTTGAAAAATGTTGTTGTATGAAAGCTTACACTACTCTAAACAATCTGTTGTTTCCAAGAAAGCTTCCACTACTCTGAAAAAACTGTTATCTCTAAGAAAGTTACACTACTCTGAAAGATCCGTTGACTCTAAGAAATCTTGCACTATTCTGAAAAACTGCTGTGTCCAAGAGAGCTTATACTACTCTTAAAATGTGTTACCCTTTCAGAAAGGAAAACGTTTGTTCGTTTCAACGATGACGCTGTTCTGAAAATTGTTGTTCCTAACAAAAATGAGAAGTAAAACGTAAAACTTTTACAAAACCAACTGACACAATAGTAAGAAATTATTGCAAATCCATAGAATCCTTGAACCTCACTGCTCTCTGAGTTGGCCATTTAGTTCATATGTGGCATAAAGCATCGCTCAGGTTGAAAATACCATTACCTCAAACACGCACATGCACCCACATATACGTGTGTGTGTCGTTACATCTCAGCACTACTAGGATATAAAAAATGAACACAGTGTTCAGAACAAAATACTAATATGATTAAGCTTGGAAAAAAACTGGTAGTTAAATGATTGTATTTTAAATATGTATAACTGAAGCATATCTAATTAAAATGGAGTTAAATAAAAAAATGTAATTTACTTGTCCAACTATATGGTTTTTGGAGCAAAAAATATAAAGTAAAAACAAACCATAATCAAAACTTTGGGTTCATTAGAGAACTGAACTCCATGCAAGTCACAGCGTTTGATTTATGTATATGCATATGCAGTGAGGCTTTTCAAATTTCCTTAGTTATTATTAAACTTTCTGACTAATTATATAAGACGGTCCAACTTTTATCTGTACCCTCCAATTCATCTTAATAAATTATTAAAAACGAAACGATAGAATTAATAAAAAAGAACCTAGGATTATATAAAACAAACTGTGGTTAGATCATTATTGGCTACACCTTTAAGTATCTTGTTGAAGTGCAATGATATCAGACTCAAAAACAGAGCATTAAATTTTATACCATTTGGCATATTGCTAAATCACTTTATAACTAATAAATTGAATCGTGTGAAGTTCAAAATAAAGAAGAGCACATAACATGGAAGCATTATCGATATGGACGAAATACTTTAACCAACGTTTCTCAGAAGAGTAACAGACGATAAAAGTCGTTCAACCATACTGTGTATTGTTTGTTTGAATCATATATTATTTGTAGTCTAACCAGTGTTCATTTATGATTGGTAATAGACAGTTTGTACATTAGGTGACTGTAAGAAGATATGTACAAAAATGCTTTTGATCGAGAAATTGTTAAGCTTTCTATGCAGCGTATAATCTTTATGTACGAAAGAGGCTACAAATATTCTATGTAAAAATATCTGTTGCTATGATCATAATTTTTCTTCGGTTGTTTTGGAAGACAGCTTTTACATTCCAATGCAATGTTTCAATTCCGCCAAAAACCTCTATTGTTCGTTTTTTGTTGTTGTTCTCTGCACAGAGACCATTGTAAAATGTATGATCAATAATTTGTTTTCAGAATAGATACGCACAATACAAGCACACTTAGAAACGACCAAGCTGTAAAAAAAAAACATTACGAAACATCCTGGAATTTGGTTTCATTGAAAATATACACATATGAATTCTGTACATAACTACGTGGAACTAAGTTTCCCTGCTGCTAATCAAGTCGAGTACAAGCGTAAACCTCTCCAATTGAAATCAATTATATATAAGAGAAGCATATATGGTTGTTCCACTAATTAGGGCGTATTCAACCAATTTTTAATTATTTTTAGAGCAAAGCTACTCAAGAGGGTATCTGTGTTCTTTCTACCACAAAGTTTCGAACTATGATTTTAGCGTTGTAACTCCGTAAACTTAGCTCTGGCTCAGAAGGGGAGGCGTTAGGCTTCAAGGCTACAAACATAGTACATATACAGTTTAGCTATGAAAATGTATTAGAACGTCAAATCATATTTTTTTGGAAGGATATCTCTGTTAACTTGTATCCAAGATTCTATATATTGTGACACCAAATAAAAATGTCCAATCTGATTTATAAAATAAATTAGTCAGAAAATTATTCACTGATCGATGCTGAATAATACAATCTACTATTAAGTGCACATAACATTCGCATTGAAATGCTTACTTTATTGATGGTATTCTTCATTTTGCATTCAACTCTGCAGTTTTCAAAATGAATATTGAAATAGAAAATTATATGAAGTTTGTGCTTCAGTTGTTAAAGAAACTAATAAGCGGTGTAATGAACGACTAGAAACTTGTAGCAAATGTTGCTCAAGAGCAGAATCCTAATTAGGCTTTAGTTTATGTGCAACTGTTATCTACTTTTGGTTTGTAATACTTTTCCTTTGATTTTGCTAATCAAGAAACTGCATTATCAGCCGTTCACTTTACAGTTGAGACACATATTTAAATTGAATTAACCAGCACTAAACCTACTAAAAAAAGAAAATACTTTGAAGTTGAATCACTTAATGTGGCCTTTGTTCATGCCTCTTTTATTAATAATTTTACAGTATTTTATTTCAATGACTAGGCACAGTTTTTGTTGATGTTATGGAAAGATTAGCAATTTTGCAAACATCACGTTAGGACCAAAAAAAAAAAAGAGCGAAAACGTAAAGATAAATTGGAGAACTTTGTAAATAATAAATGATGTTTGTTTGTTGTAAAGCACAAAGCTACACAATGTCTATTTGTGTTCTTCCCACCGCGGGTACCGAAAACCCATTTTTAGCGTTATAAGCCCACTGAATTACTGTTGAGTCAGTTTGTTTGTTATGAATTTCGGGCAAAGCTACACGAGGGCTATCTGAGCTAGCCGTCCCTAATTTAGCAGTGTAAGACTAG